GTGTGTGTTGTGTTTGGTCATTTGTGTATAATGCTGACTGGCTGTGTGGGTGTAAATGACTCTCCAGCCCTCAGGGGTGACAGGGTACCGTCACTATGGAAACCCAACGCAATAGCAAGTGATGAGTTGATCCTCAGCCTGCTGATGAGGGAGCTCATCAGCTCAGAGTGTGTTGTATAAAATTTCTGAGTGGCTTCAAGTTCAAACGTGTCCGACTTTGATTGTATCACAGCACGCTGACATACGGTCATCTTCGGCCTGGAGCCTTTACAGATTACAGATCATATGAAAATGATGCTGAGAGTTCAGATGGATTACGGTGACAAAATGCGTGTAGCATGAAAGTGTGGTTAAGTAGACCTGTGGTAGTGCTTTTCTGTGATGTGTAAGTAACAGAGAGAGTTTAATTCATGCATTAGTGTTTGGTTGCTATAAATGATGATCCATAGGGTTTTTAATTTTGGTTTAAATGGCCGTGACAGGCCTCTATCAGAAGAAACGTGCATGTAGTGAATGTGTGTGTGAATGGGTGGATGACAGATTGTGTAAAGCGCTTTGGGGTCCTTAGGGACTAGAAAAGCGCTATACAAATACAGGCCATTTACCATGTAAGTAGGTCAAACATAATGAATATTATATTATTATATATTCAGTATATAATAATATTTATTATTTACTGGGAACTGCTCAACTTTTAGCTCCTTAAATTATTTTCATACCAAAAAGTGCTCTAAAAAGATCCATAAAGCAGACTTGTCACATCCTAGTTTTCTAAACCTAAGTTTGGACTCAACCTTGCATTTATTTATTTTTAATTCTAGAAAGTACCTTTGTATTTGTATGTTTCTCCTGTTTGTCCAGTATCATGCAATCTTACAGATCCACAGAACATTTATGACATCTGGTAGCTTCTAGGTGGATTACCTCCACTCTCTGATGATGAAGTGAAAACCTGTGGTTCTTCGAAAACCTGCATCAGGTTGGCTTTAAATATGGCACGATCCCTGTAGACACCCAAAGAAAATGACAAACATGGTGCACTAAAAGTACTTTTAGAAGTACATTTTCCCAAACACTTACATTTACTGAAATTTACTTGAGTAGGGTTAGGGGTTGGCACTTCTTCATGCAGTCATGTTCTATAGAGTCTTGCTAATGACCTACTAATTGTATTCAGGTGTGTTGCAACACTCTCAGGACACTGGCCCCTGAGGACTGGAGTTCGAGACTCCTGCGTATGCAAGCTGTATGCTAGCTTTTACCTGTGGTAAAAAAATAATTGTACTTTTAATCCAATTGCCTGACAATTATAAGGCTTTTTGTGAGGCACAAACAGCTTGTTCACCAGTTTTGATGTGTTAAAGTCTAGCACTTTATTAATCTGTCGCCTAACACTTATGGTAAACATTCCAGTACTAGACTAGCATAATTTCCACTTTGTTGAGTACTCAAAGTACTTGCTGCAAAAAACAAAAAACTGCTGAGCAATGGACGATGATTAAAAACTCATATTCTGGTTCCACCAATGAGGAAGTTTTTTCTCCCTGATGAAGCTTTGGACAGTTTCAGAGAATCTGTATTGTATTAAGATTTTAGCTTTATGTTAGTTACATCTCCTTTCATGTTACTGTCTGCATCTGCCTGCTGGCATTTTAGTGTCTGTCATGATTTATTTTGTAAATCATCAAGAAAACTCAAAGTCATGATGCAACATTGGACTGACTGACTGCAGTCATTCAATTGCCTGCAAGGGGAACTTGTCAGATTTCCTTCTGCTGACGCATTAAATGGTTGACGAACATTTGCTAGTGACTCAATAGTGTTTTAATTTTTCTTTCAGTTCACTAATACACATGTAATTCTGCTTTGGGACCATACATATATTAAATATGAATGAAAAGCAAATGATACAATGTAATGATGTAATGTTTCTGTTTTTCTCTTATATCGTTTGAAGGAGACAAACTAGATTAGGTGTAACCTTTTTCCAATTTCTAATCTGAAAACAGTTTAGTGCATGTTTGTGCGCCAATGGATGCTTTATTGTTTAATTCTCAGGTTGTTTTAAGTGCATTTAGCTGAATGCCTTCAAGTAACAGGCGCCAAATGTTTAATGGACAGTTAGCCTGTAAAATACTGACAAGTGAGGCTTGTTTAGATTTTTTTTAACCTTCACAACGTGTCTGAGAAGCCCAGTTGACCTGAACAGAAAGAAATTATACAATTTCTTTTAGTTTTGATACATGCTCAATCATCCAGGAAAGTAAATCTACAAAAGTTGATTCTGTTCATCTGGACGTAGCGTTTTGTGGGAGAAAGGTTTCGTCACTCATCCAAGTGACTTCTTCAGTCTCAGCTGACTGCAGGTTTCCCCAAATCTTTTAATTAAACAGTACATTTGCACAATGATTGAAACCAGCCCACTGAAGGAACAATGGGCTGGGAGGTCAGTTCCTTCATCATAATTATGCAAATTCTCATTCTCATTCCCACAAAACGCTACGTCCAGATGAACAGAATCAACTTTTGGAGAAATTTCTATTAGAAACGTATACATTTGTACACCTCCTGATTATTGTTCTTTAATAATCCAGACACAATGAAAGGTATGACTAAATGTCCACTTCAGAGTGTGACACAGTGGAACTCAACTTGACAATATTTCTTACGTTATTTCAATGCCAATGTGAAAACTCTGAGAAGAGCTGTTTCAGTGGAAAATCCAGATTAAAATGTCTCGAGGATGCTTGATTATGGTTTGCCATGTTAAACTGAGCTCTCCTTAAAGTCTGGATCAAGTGGGAAATGCATTTTCTTCCTTGGACCTCTCGATTGTTGGCTGGCTTTGCACTTGGCTTACTGTGACTACATTTTCTGACCAATTAGATTACTGACAAAAATGAAGTATTAGAATCAATAAGCAGTATTTTCTGTAATGGCTGCTGGCAAGAGTTCAAACATTTTAGAGCTTCACAGCAGAGCCATAAAGTATAGTTGTAAAAATGTAACAGCAACATCATTATCTTTCCTACAGCCTCCCCACCCACCATCTGCATCCCTTTTCTCCTTATATATCATCATCATCTCTTTTAATTTTCCTTCCCCGTCACTATGCTGTCTCCCCCATAACATGATTTTCCTCATTACCTTCTTTTTCTCTGACCTTCTTCATCTTTGTGTATCCTTCACCCTGCTTCTTTCCCCTCCTCTCATTATCTTCTTTCCATCTGTTCTTTTGCACCTCCTGGCTGACCTGTGCCTCTCTCTCTTCTTCCTTCTCTTGCTCCATTTCCAACCCAATCTCTTCTCTAATAAGCGTTTCCTGCATAGAAACCCTCACTTTCTCCCAAAAGAGCTTTTGGGCAAAGCCAAAGGGAAACTGCCAGCGTTGTAATAAGTTTAGGTTTTTAAATGAGTTATTTTAATGAGGGTTTCAGTTACTCAACCATAACAAACACTCCTGTTTACAGAGATTTGAAAAAATCCACAGACTTCTATCAAATAACATAACAAAGACTCATTGCAGACTCATTGCTCTTATGCTGGCTAATTGTCCTTACGCAGGTCAGTCACCAGCCAAATCCCAGTGTGAGTCAGGAAAACCCTGCTAATATTCCCTCGGTGGTCTCCTTCTCTCTTTTCCCTTCTCTTCTGAGAAAAGTTTAAAATAATTTTAAACTTAAGACCTTCTCTCCATCTGGATTTTGATTGAGTTTCCTTTAAACCAATCATACATACGTTGCTTCCGTGTTTGACCATTTAACCAGGTTAAATCACTGATCAGGGTTTGCACCCCAAACCCAGATAAACTGCCAAAAATGGCTGTCCGGATGAATAATTACTGGTTTCTCAGTCATGTGTGAAGTCCTTTAAACTACT